CCAGTTATCAGTTGGTGGACACCTGGGTCGATTCCATTTCTTAGCTACTGTGAGCTGAGCTGCTATGAACACAGGGGTACAGGTGACTTTCACATGCTGATTTCATTTCCTTATGGGAATCCCTAGGAGTGGGGCAGCTGGGTCACATGGCAAATTTATTCCCAGCTTTCTGGAGAATCTCCATGGCTGCCTTCCACAGCAGCTGTCCTAGTTTCCACTCCCATCTTGGAGTATTGGGTTTGCTCTTTCTCCGCATCCTCACCAGCATTTGCTGTGTTTTGACTTCTGGAAGGCAGCCACCCTAACTGGGGTGAGGTGAACCCCGCACGGCTTCAATCTGCACTTTGTGATGGCGACTGCCCCTGAGCATCTTTCCATGCGGCTGCTGGCCATTTGTGTTTCATCCTTTGAAAAATGCTTGCTCATATCCTTAGCCCTTTTCTTTTTTTCTTTTTTTTTTTTTTGACAGGCAGAGTGGACAGTGAGAGAGAGAGACAGAGAGAAAGGTCTTCCTTTGCCCTTGGTTCACCCTCCAATGGCCGCTGCAGCCAGCGCGCTGTGGCCAGTGCACCGCGCTGATCCGATGGCAGGAGCCAGGAGCCAGGTGCTTTTCCTGGTCTCCCATGGGGTGCAGGGCCCAAGCACCTGGGCCATCCTCCACTGCACTCCCGGGCCACAGCAGAGAGCTGGCCTGGAAGAGGGGCAACTGGGACAGAATCCGGAGCCCCAACCGGGACTAGAACCCGGTGTGCCAGCGCCGCAAGGCGGAGGATTAGCCTAGTGAGCCGCGGCACCAGCCTCCTTAGCCCATTTCTTAACTGGGTTGCTGTTTTGCCGTTTGATTTTCTTGAGCTCCTTATATGTCCTACGTATTAATCTTGCATCAGATGTACAGTCTGCACATGTTTTCTTCCATTCTATTGGTTGCCTATTCACTTTACTGAGTGTTCCCTTTGCTGTGCCAAAGTTTCTTAGCTTGATATAATCCCACTTGTCTACTTTTGCTTTCAGTCCCTGTGTTCCTGGGGATGATCTTTTCTTTTAAAGATGTACAGTTGCAATGGCAAGGGGCTAGGCCAGGCTGAAGTCAGGAGCCTGGAACTCCATCTGGGTCTCCATATGAAGGCAAGAAACGCAGGTGAGCCATCTTCTGCTGCTTTCACAAGTACATTAGCGGGGAGCTGGACCAGAAATGGAACATCTGGGTGCAAAATGGCTATCATATGGGGTAGCGGAGTAACAGGCAGCAGCTGAATCCCTGTGCCACAATATCAGACTTGGGCTGGGTAATTTTAAAACATGGATTTGATCATGCTCATCCAGAGGATAAACATAAAGCTAACAAATAAAAGGGTAGAGGTCAGGGCCCACACTGTGGTCCAGTGGGCTAAGCCTCCGCCTGTGGCACCAGCATCCCATATGGGTGCCAGTTCTAGTCCTGGCTACTCCTCTTCCTATCCAGCTCTCTGCTATGGCTGGGAAAAGCAGTAGAAGATGGCCCAACTGCTTGAGGTCCCTGCAACCATGTGGGAGAACTAGAAGAAGCTCCTGGCTTCAGATTGCCCCAGTTCCAGCCATAGCAGCCATTTGAGAAGTGAACCAGTGGATGGACGATCCTCCTCTGTCTATTCCTCTATCTACCTCTTAAATAAATAAAATCTTTGGGAGGTAGTTTATAATTTTCTAATTCATTAGAAAAGAAAATTTGAAATAAGAAAACCAACTAAGAATATAAAGTTTATTTCTAGGATATGAGAAATAAAAATAACACAAGTAAGTCCAAATATTTCATTCACCCTAATAAACATAATGTAATAGTTCTATCAGAAGAAAGACTTAACAAATTTAACTTAAGGAATCTAGCTCCATAGCCAGTCTAGCTTCAAAAGTCTCATCTGAAGTGAAAATAGAAAACATAAACTAGGCCAGTGCTCATCTAAAGAAGGCAATACACACTTTAGGATAAAAAATTTAAACAAAACAAAATATGTGTCATTATGCATTTGAGAGGCTCACTAGACAATGACATAAAGTTCATTTACCAAAAAGATGTAAACATTTTGTATTCTTAAATAAGAGTGTCAAAATAGAAAAAAAAATTAGCAAGCGTACAGGAAGAAATTGGTAAAGCCATTATCCTAAATGGATACTTCAATACCTGTCTCCTAACTACTGATTGTCAAGAGAAAAAAACACCAGTATAAACAGTTAGAAAGCTTGATTACAAAATGTTTTTAAAAGCAGATCACATAAAGCAAATACAGCAAAATGTTACCAACTGCAGAATCTAGCGGACAGACACACAGGTGCTCACTGTGCACCATTTCAGAGAACACTCGGGGTAATGTCTCCTAACAGTCCACAAAGAAGGTTTCCACAGAGCCAAGAAGCTCAGAATCACCGAGACCACGCCCTCTGATCGTGACGCCACCACGCTAAGACTGGGAGAGAACGTTAGAGAACGTCTCTAACGAAGTCACACACTCAGAAACAGAAAGGCACCCGCAAGGCTGCAGAACAAGCATTCGCAACCTGGACTGCTGCGAGCTCCTCAAGGAAGTCAGATCCTCAAACTCACAAACCGAAAAGCAGATGATTCATGGGTTTTATTGCCCACAAAAAGAAGAAGATGAGCATATAAAGAGCACAAAGAACAAACATTACAGACACGGTTAATACGACAAAGCCTTAAGACTACTAAGGAAAAACATGGGTACCAGGAAAACTGGTGAAACATGCAGTCTATCTGGGGAAAGGCTATCTACTGGCCATATGTGTACAGCGTGCTAATACCGTGACACCAAATGAGGGGGAACCAGACAGCAACGGTCTAGCATACAGCTGCAGGCAAAAACAAGCCTGAACTGAATTTCCACAATCAGCAACTCATTAAATGTCACGTCATCTGCTCTCTGAACAGACCCACAGGCTAACCTACATCTATGTCCGTCACATGGAAAGGTTTCTCCAACATAAAGCTGAATTTTTAAAAAGGGTGTATCTGTAGTATCCGTCCACTTCCGTTAAAAACTATGCACTTCACTCATGCACACACACACGTGTGCCTTGAAAAGGTGGCTAGAGCGACAGTTATTAAGACAGTGAAGGTGGCTGTTTATGTGGTGAGATGTAAAGGTTTCTTACTATCAACTTTCTCTAAGGGCTCAAATATCCTCATGGTACAAGGATGTGAAGACAGCCTTCCTTCTCTTTAACTCTCATGTCTGGTTCCTGTAAGTATCATGTATACACATGCCCCAACACACAATGTCCACTTAAACACAGACTGTTCAACTGTAGAACCACACCCTTTAAGAAGGGTGCCACTCCCGCGTGGGAGACCCAGAGGAGGCTCCTGGCTCCAGATCGGCTCAGCTCCAGCCACTGTGGCCATTTGGGGAGTGAACCAGCGGATGAAGATCTCTTTCTCTCTGTAACTCTTTCAAATAAATAAAAACAAATGTTAAAAAAAAAAGAGAAGGGTGTCACTGATCTAATTTACAAGTTCATGCTACATCTACTTCTCCTGGGTCTATATCACAAACCCTTATTTATGGACAGTAATTCTCACATTCTCCACTTCACTGACCTCCCACAAACACAGAGGACTTGAAGTCACCAATTAATATCCACATTTGTCCATTTCTATTCACCTATTCTGTCACCTGAATTTCTGTAACTTCTAGAAAGAAACTGAATTTACACCAAGTTTAGTGCAAAATTCGTCTTCATTTCAATCAGATCTTGAATTAAAAACTCATTTTTGAAAGCATACCCCCCCCCCACCTGGATGGGGACCCGCCTCTGTGTTCCTCGCTATCCCACTGGCGGCTGGGCCTGCTGAACGTGTGCCCAGGCACCACCGTGCTTTCTCAGGCATCCACCTCTGGAGGCCTCTGACCGCACAGACTTCCAGTCACTGACCCTACATCACTACTCACCATCTGCTGGACCTTTCTGGTCACTAGCACGTCCCTGGGACCACACAGTGTCATCACTGAGTCTCTTTAGGCTCCTCTCTGCTGTTCCAGGTTCTAAAGTTAGGTCAGGCGGGAATCCACATCTCCATGTCTTCCTGCTCACAGGAGGGCAAGAGATGCCACGGCTTCTGAGTCCCCTGCTTCCATCTGTTACCATCTGAATGAAATCCCAGCTTGTGAACACGGAATTTTAAATTACCACTCTCCTCTCACTGCTGCCCTGCTTCGCGAGGTTCAGCGAGTCAGCCATGCTCAAGGACCAAGCCCAGTTCCACTGTGCAGAATTATCAGGCAGCAGGGATCCGGCCCTGCCTTACGCACTCCACTCTCCCCCACAGGCATGTCGTTCTAGTTCTAGGAGCGGGGCGCCAGCCACGATGCTGTGCCGTTACAGATGCCGACTTCCCTTGCCAGACTGACTTTGGACCCCTCCCCTGCCACCCTCCGTGAAATACTGAGTCCTCAAGACGCAGGTTCAACAGCAGCTCCCTGCGGAACCACCTCAGGCTACCAGAACCACGCTCCCCCCAAACCCCGCGGACACATCTACTGGAGCGTCCAGCACACTTTCTCACTGGTGCGATTGTGCTTGGTCATCCGAGACTCTGAGGGGAGAATTCTGTATTATTATTTTCTGACTCTTCAGCACTGAACTACCAAAGACTCAGTGCACATTCAATAATGGCTGCTAAGTGGAAAAATGAATAAACAAAAAAATGCATAAATGAACAGATAATCAGCAAAATAGAAAAAAAAGAAATATCATCCCAAAATAATTGAATCTACAGAGAAAAATGTATTAAATGGAAGACAGTAGGTCAGACATATGATTAGTTTGCCAAAGACATTTATCAACCAATTTGTGTTTGCTAACACAGCAAACCTCAAAGCCCCGTAACACTTTCCTTCCTGCATACAAAGTCTGAGAGACAGCAGTGCCTCAAGGTCAGTATCCGGCACAAAGTGAGAAAGTGCTTCGTTCTAACATCTGCGAGCAGAGCACAAGAGTGGAATACTTACTCTAAGACTTCATAATTCGACTTCTTTTCTAGGGCATTGCCCCTCATCTCCCAGTACGATCGCCTAAAACCAGGGGAGACATACATTACAGATGTCTAGTCACATAAAGCACGTTTCTGCTTTTACTCAAATAAAACTGGGGATAGAGGTATTCAATAAGCAATTTTATAAGCAATTTATAAGCAATTCAGAATTAAGATTTTATTCAATGTTTTACTGACGATCTTTCGAAAAAAGGGAAATATCCAGAAATTCCAAGTATAATGAAACCACTGATGAACAAACCTCAATGCATAATTACCACCTTACCGTATTTCCAGACAACCCAGCTTCAAAGCAATGTCTTGGTCCACTTGATCAGCTATCTCTAACATATAGTCACTCTTCACCTACAATTAAAAACGCAGTTTAGAGACAAGACATTTGAGAGGCATTCATCAACAAGTTCACTGACCACCCTTACATACTTCATATATCAGTAATTATGCCAGATCCTACAGATATAAAAATGAGTAACACACACAAAAACATAGAGCAGTGAAATGGTCTCCTACCAACAGAAGCTCACAGCATCTCTAACCCTGGAATGAGACACGAGGAGACAGCTCGCAGCGAGTGAGAGGTGCTTTACGCCCTCCTGTCAGTAGAATGGCACAAGCCTGCGGAGCTGTCTGCTGGGCGGGCACCTGTCTCTGCGGGACTTACAGGACACCTCACCACCAGCTGCAGAACACACTCTTCTCGGCACACACAGGACACTGCCTAGGCCACAAATCAAGTCTCAGAAAATCTAAAAAGAACAAAATCATACCACGTATCTTCTCAGACCATAAAGGAATAAAACTAGACATCAACGAGAACAACAGAACACTCATAAATACCTGGAAATTTAAAAATATGCTATTGAATGATCAATGGCTCATTGAAGAAATTTAAAAACAAAAAACTTTCTTGAAATAAATGAAACTGAAAAGACAACATATCAAAACCTGTGGGATACAACAAAAGCAACAGTAAGAGGGAAGTTTATAGCATTAAGTGTTTACATTAAAAAAAGAGGAATGTTTCAAATTAAAGATCTAATGACTGCATCTTAAAGACTCAGAAAAACAAGAACAAACTAAAACCAGAATCAGCAGGAGGTGAGACACAATAAGGATTAGAGTAGAAATAAAAGAAATCGAAGTTAAAAAATAAAAGATTAACAAAACAAAAAGTTGGTTTTTTTAGAAGATAAACAAAATAGATAAACTGATGTCCAGCCTAACAATGAAAAAAAGACTCAAATAAATAAAATTAGAGATGAAAAGGAGACTTACAACCTACATCACTGAAATACAAAGGATTATAAGAAACTACTATGAAGAACTACATGCCAATAAACTGGAAAACTTCAAAGAAATGGGTCAATTCCTGGATTCATATAACCTACCAAGATTGAATCAAGACGATACAGAAGACCTAAACAGACCCGTCACAAGCAATGAGAATGAAGCAATGATCAAAGTCTTCCATCAGGGGAAAGTCCAGGACCTGACGGCTTTACCACTGAATTCTACAAATCATTCAAAGGGGGGAAACTCCAATATTCTTCCAACTATTAAGACACCGAACATGATGAAACTCTGCCAAACTCTTCTCATGAGGCCAGCATCACTTTGATACCCAGACCAATCAAAGACACAACACGAAAGGAAAGCTACAGACCTACTTCCTTAATGAACACAGACGCAAAGATTCTCAACAAAATCCTAGCAAATCGAATCCAAAACCACGTGAGAAAGATCATACGTCACGATCAAGTCAGATTTACCCCAGAACTGCAAGGGTGGGTCGACATCCACAATCAATCAATGTCATAAATCACATGACAAAATGGAATCAAAAGCCACAGTCACCGCAACAGACGCAGAGAAAGCGACACTGCTTCCTGACGGTAACAACGCCCCGGATTCGGGTCTGGAAGGAATCCCCCTCAGAGCTAGAAAGGCCACCTGTGACGGACAAACAGCCGATGCTGGACGGCACGAGAAAGGCTGAAACGTTCCCCTCGGACCTGGAGCAACACACGCCGCCCGCTTTGCCACTCTGACCCAGTCAGCACTGGGAGTTTTAGCAGAGCAACTGGGGAGGAGAGAAGGGCACCAGAATTGGAAGAGACGAAGTCACACTGTCCACGTTTGCAGATGACATGACGCTGTACCGGAAAACTAAACACTCCCTCCGAAAGCTGGTAGAACTGATAAACCAACTCGGTAAAGTTGCAGGTTACAAAATAAACATACAAAAGTAGTAGCTTTTTTGTATGTTAGTGACGAGCTCACAGAAAGAGAAAGCAAGAAAGAAATCCCATTCACAATAGCCACACAAAATAAATAAAATATTTAGGAATACATTTAACCAAAGAAGTGAAAGATCTTGACAATGAAAATTATCAAACACTGATGAATAAAATCATTAAGGATACCAAAAAACATGGAAAGATATTCCTTGCTCAAGGATTGGAGGAATCAATATTGTTAAAATGTCTATAATACCTAAAGCAATCTGCAGATTCAATGCAATCCCTATCAAAATACCAATGACAATCTTTACAGAACTAGAAAAAGCAATCCTAAAATTCATACTGGAATCACAAAAAAAAATCCCAAATAGTCAAAGTAATTCTAGCATGAAAAATCAAGCTGGAGGCATCACAAAACCTGACTTGAAAGCATACTACAAAGGTATAATAATTAAAACAGCATGGCACTGGCATAAAATCTGATACATAGGGGCCGGCACTGTGGCGCAGTAAGTTAATGCTCTGCCTGCGTTGCTGGCATCTCATGTGGGCGCCGGTTCTACTCCTTGCTGCTCCTTTTCCAACCCAACTCTGCTGTGGCCTGGGAAAGCAGTGGAGGATGGCCCAAGTCCTTGGGCCCCTGCACCCACATGGGACATCAGGAAGAAGCTCTTGGCTTCTGGCTTCGGATCGGCACAGCTCCGGCTGTTGTGGCCATTTGGGAAGTGAACCAACAGAAGGAAGACCTTTCTCTCTCTCTCTCTCACTGTAACTCTACCTTTCAAATCAATAAATAAAATCTTAAAAAAAAAAAAACAAACCAGGCTGGCGCCATGGCTCACTAGGCTAATCCTCCGCCTGCGGCGCCAGCACACCGGGTTCTAGTCCCGGTTGGGGTGCCGGATTCTGTCCCGGTTGCCCCTCTTCCAGGCCAGCTCTCTGCTGTGGCCCGGGAGTGCAGTGGAGGATGGCCCAGGTGCTTGGACCCTGCACCCCATGGGAGACCAGGAGAAGCTCCTGGCTCCTGCCTTCGGATCAGCGTGGTGCGCCGGCCATAGCGCGCCGGCCGCGGCGGCCATTGGAGAGTGAACCAACGGCAAAGGAAGACCTTTCTCTGTCTCTCTCTCTCACTGTCCACTCTGCCTGTCAAAAAAAAAAAAAAAGAAAAAAAGAAAACAAAACCGATGCATAGATCACTGGAACACAGTAGAGAGCTTAGAAATTAACCCACATACATACAGCCAACTGATTCTGGGCTGAAGTGCTCAGACCACACACTGGACTAAGGGTAGTCTATTCAACAAACGCTGCTGACAAAACTCTCTGTGTGTGTGTGACAAACACTGTTTGTCAAAGTATTAAGGCTTTTTACTGTATAAACTTAAAATTTTATCTACAAAACTAAAAAAAAAGGGGAAGGAAGGAGGGTGGGCCAGGTGAAAATGACCACGTCTGTCTCCCAGTTCTAAAGCTGTGTATGCAGAAGGAAGATCAAGAAAATACGGACTGAACCGTATAAATGACAGGTAAGCCAAGTCTTCATTAACCAAAGTGCTTTTCCCTGAATCATCAAAATTACACAAGACTGGAAAGGGGAGAAGAAATGTTTTAAGTTAAAATATCCCATTTACAGCTGCACTTTCAAAAATATGTTTTAAATGACAGCTTCAAGGCTAAAATAATGGAGAAATACGTTAACTCTGATGACACAATTATCTGAATTACAGTTTGCAAAAAAGAAAGGTGAAGAAAAATAGATTGCTTAACAAGAACATTTTTCTACAGTCAAGTTTAGATTCTAGACCAAATAAATGAATTAATTAATTAAAAAAAAAGATTCTGGGCCAGAGCTCTGGCGTAGCAGGTAAAGCCGCCACCTGCAGTGCCTTCATCCATGTGAGTGCTGGTTTGAGTGCTGGCTGCTCCACTTCCAATCCACCTCCCTGCTCATGTGCCTGGGAAAGCAGCAGAGGACGCCCCAAGTCCCTGGGTCCCTGCACCCACATGGGAGACCCGGAAGAAGCTCCTGGCTCCTGGCTTCGGATAGGCCCAGCTCCAGCTGTTGCAGCCATCTGGGGAGTGAACCAGTAGATGGAAGACCTTTCTCTCTCTCTGCATCAGCCTTGCTATAACGCTGCCTTTCAAACAAATAAATAAATAAATCTTTAAAAGATTCTAGATCATAGTATTAAGCTATGGCTCAAGACCTAGTATTTTCCTCAACTCTTCTGTGGAAATTCATCACTGACTGTTTATTTTGCCAATAAGTGGATATACTCATTTCAAATCTTATTTGTATGAGTAAACAATGAAGATTTCATCCTAAACCCAGGCTTCTTAAAGGCTAAAAATTTCAGCGGTAAATAATTTATTTATGAGTTCAGCATCACGAATGCAGAATTAATTAATACTGTAACTTCCTGGATAAACATGGACATCAAATTTTTAATTGAAGCCACCACCATGCACCAAGGGCTGCCAATCAAATAGTACTTAAATCAATGAAAGGTAAGAAAAAATCTGACCTCACGCTAAATATATTCTTCTTGCTTTCTAATATGTCATTAGCTTTATTGTCAAAGATTATTTTTGTTTCCTACTCCTAACTGTATGGTGTTAGAACAAGATTCTAGTTTATTGTTAGTGTGATTAATATCGTCAGGTATATTAAAAGATGGATCAACAATAATGAGTGAATCACTTGAGATTTCTCACATTGGTAGTGGAATTTAATGAGATTATGTGTACCCACAGCAATAATGCCCAACCAGCAATTCCATACTCAACCTCTGAAACCTTCAGTGACACTGTTTTCCTGACAATCCCACCCAAAATGGGCTTGGATAAAATTTCAAAATAAGCAGCAAGAACACTGATGCAGTGTACTGCAATCAGTTCCTTCCCTCTGTCCCTCCCTTAGGGTAGCAACGGTGGTAGAAGAACTAATATGATTATTTCTCCCCAGATGAAAGACCCAAACCATTAAAAATACTAATTCTTCTAAAGCAGAACGTACAACAGCTAACACTTAAAGGTGTTCACCATATGCCAGACATTTCAAAGTACTTTGCCATGTCACTTTACTGGACATTCACAGCAACCTCA